GTATTGCGATCTCAATAATAAAAAGTTCTCTTATTAGTACGCATTTTCTTTTTAAGACGTCGACTGGCAGTTATTTCCCCACCATTCATTGCTTTAAGCTGGGCCATTAAAAATACATCTTGTTCGGATCTAGAGAGGGCTTGAAACGCCTCACGTAATTCAGCAAACTTTTCTCTTGGAATCTTTTTTGAGCAACCACAATTGCAACCTACCTCTAAGAAACGGATTGCTTTTTCATATTCGGTGGAAGCGCTACATTCATTATTTTTCATATACGGGTAATCCTATATATAATTTTAATCTGTATACGCTTTTTTCAAAGAGCAAGTTTGGAACTGACTAACTCTTATCAACAATTTCGTATTACCTGTGAGCATCATCTGGACATTTCTTCAATCGAACGGTTACAGTATATTATTTAATCTAGCAGTTTGTAACGTAATTGACAATATTTATTTATGTTTCGTAGCAGTAGTGAGATTGATGCAAGTATGTCTCATACGGGTCCGTTTACGTCATTCTGTTGTAATTTGCACTAGCAACATTTCGGTTCACTTTTTAAAGTAACTGCACTAGAGCAGGCTGGGTTTTGTAAAATCTTCCTCAATCCCCGCATCGCAACACGACCGAAAGTCACAATATTTTACTCAAAACGATTAATATAGGAATATATTCTCATTCAAAATTCGTATTTTACACGTCCGATTGTCCTTCACCCCGACCCTAATTATACATGCATAGATTATGAACGAATCATGTTTAAACTCGATTGTAAGACAGGGGTTTGCTTCATGTATGCTAAAACCTTACGACATTTCCACTCACGCACTTCATTCTCATCCATCACATCAAAAACATCCCTCATTGATGCAACGTCATCTTCCGGTAGGAGGTCCAAGGGGTCAATTTTAGGCCTGTTTAGAACACGCTCTATTCCCTGTATTTCAGAACTATTCGGCTCTATATCACTACCTCCTATAGCTGCCCTGAGGTTGCATCGCTTTGTGAATGGAAAGTCAGACCGAGATGCAGCATCGACAGTAGTAGTCATGCCAAGTTCCGCTATCATTGTCTCGAGTAGAGTCTTTGCTTCCGCAATGGAGAACGTACAGTCCATAATCATGCCTTTTTCCAACCAGAAAAATTGCCAGTGTTTTGCCAGGTCAGTAAGGACTATTGTTACTGGATATTCTGAATATATGTTCGCGGTCACAAGCTCCATCACAGCTTGTATAGAGTGTGTGCTAGCTTCAACTGATTTTTTAACTTCAATGCCGATCCTTAGCCCGCCAGCGACGTTTCCACTTCTAATGTTCTTTTTGTCTACGACAGCTATATATACGGTTCCAGTAATATTGAAAGGCAAGGCATCTATGGTCGTGCTGAGGAGGCCGGGTGTTGCTGATGCATCGTAGTATTCACAGTCTTCAGGTAGGTTAATATTGTTTCGAAGCCATTCGATGTAATTATTTGCATGTCCTCGTTCTGTTTTCTGTGTCCACCTGAAATGTTTCACTTTCGATGCATTCTTCATAGCGACAGCAAAGTTAATTGTCTTTCTCTCAAGGCCAAGGAAATCGACTAGTCTTTGATAATCCTTGCGTGAAGCCCTCGAGATCGAGATTACGGATCTCTCATGTTCATGAAGGGCTAAAGGGATGTTAATTTGAGGCTGAAGAAATGATAACAGTGCTTGATATGAGACTTCCATGCATACCTTTCTTGACAGCTGTGTTTATAATCTCCTCCATCTCTGTATAACTCCGTTTCTGGCCTATGGATGAGTATACAATCAGCATTTCAGTTAACACATCGCTTTGCTCGAGTCACAAAGTCGTTACCTGGCTGAATAAGCTCGCGAAGTTTCTTTCCCCACTCCCGCTTCTCCTCCTCCAGACTGTCTTCTTTTTCCGTCAAGCTCGCCAGCTCGCCAGTCCAACCGGGCTGCACTCCATTCCTCAGGTCATCCAGTCTCTTCAACTTCAACTTCAACTCTTCATACTCCTTCTTCGCGTCATCGTATGCTTGCTTGATGTCCATGTTGATCTAATATCCTTGATCAGTGGCTTAATCAATGACGTATTATTAGGAACTTTCTAGACCTTTTCATAATGTACCGTATAGTTCCGAAAATAAGCACCCCCTTTTAATTATAGGCGAAATTATATGTAATCACAAACATTGGTACATACAATTGATCGTTACCATTTTTGAATACATTTGGGGGGAAAGTGCTTATTTTCGGAGGTAAAAATTTTTGGGAGGTGCTTATTTTCGGAGGGTATATTATGCAACTATTTTTACGTTTCCTGATCTGCATTACTATTACTCCGAATTCTTCTTGTTTGTGATGATGCAGACATAGTTCAATGTCGGAATACATCATCTATTACTGTACTATTAATCCTGACAATAGTTATCTTTTATTTCAACTAAAAATACCTCCCAATCAATCCATTCAAAGTAATCAGATAAATATCTTATTGGAACTTGCATGTCTTTTTTCTAATGGCTTGTGAACTATTAACAACAAAACTATTACACATTTGTTTTTATTTAATGCAAATATAAAACTTTCGTGATAACATTAGCGTTTTGGCGCTCCATGCGATTGGGTAATATCCACAACAATTGTGAGCTCCTTGTTATTGCACAGTTCTCAACTGTATTACCATCTCTGCTTTGCCTATAAAGCAAAGTAAGCCTGTAAGCATTATTTTGCTTCATAGGCTACTTGATTCTCTTGAAATCTCATTGTTGATTCCAAACCTTATTGAAGCAAAGTAAATGTGAACTCCAAATATTTACTGTATGATTTCTGGGGGGCTGATTGCTACATCATTAGCGAGTTGGTGTATGAGGAATATTATCTGTTTTGAAATCGGGTCGATCCACATTTTATTTGATATCATCACGTAAACAAATGTTGATTAGATGTCGTAATATCGTGATTGCAGCCCGTTTATTTATCATTTAATTCGCTAATAAACGTGTACAACGTCTGCTAAATGCGTAATTATCTTATATTAATGGAAATAACTCTGAAATTAATTTGGTTTGACTTTGTGGACTTTATTATTAGGCCTTTAAATAGTTTAATATGGCTAGCGATTCGAATGTAACAAGCATGAACGATTACTTAACCTATACCGGGCTGATGTTTTATATTAATATTAATATGCATTGTAAGCAATTAAATTCGACTTAAACCATCGTATTAACAATACACAAATAGAACAAAACTTAATATTAATATTTGTTTACAATCACCGTATATCTGTTCACTTTTCGATTTGTTGTTTGCGTTCTTTATTGATGTAAAACTACGATGAAGCTATTAAAACTTATTTGAATCGCCACTAATAGAGTACACTCAGTAAACCTTTACTATTCCTGTTAGTATCCAGAAGTCTGCCGGTTTATTTGAGCCGCAATTCGAATCAGTCCGAGTTTTTTTTTACTGCGGTTTGTTTGTGATATAGACGTATTTCGATGACGCGAAAATATCGCGAGAAATACATAATAATAGTTAGGTCATGCCATTGTATTCGCATTTAGAATATAAATAGTAAAAAACTTATAGAGAAGAAAATAAAATAAAAGCAAGGAGGATAACTCTGTATATACGGGAGGCAATCATTTCGTCGGCAATCATTTCGTCGGCAATCATTTCGTCGGCAATCATTTCGTCGACAATCATTTCACCGACAAATCTTCACCAACATTATTTCGAAGTTATCCTTTTTTGGTAGTTAATTGTACTGTCGGTGAAATGATTGTCGATGAGATAATACGGACCCGTATATACTACGTTATTATGAAGCTTATATTAAAATGTATTATCAGTATTATATAGCTATAGTTCGATGTATAAACGGTCCAAAAAAACTTCGCCATAATAATAAAGCCATCTTCGTTAACCGGTCCTTCGTTAAACCAGACTTACTGTATATTTTAATTTAGCACTATTTTTTTCCTTCATAACGATACCTAAGTCATTGCTTCTTACATAGTATGCACAGACTTCCACGTGATTAAAGACAGTCGGCGTTAGTTGAGGCGCCTTGAGGCGCCGCTCCGCCCTCCGCCATGATAGTACTACCCAAACCGTAGGACAAAGCCTGACCTGAAAATAGACTATTACTATCAGCCCCTATTATATTGTTATTCACCATGCCAACTGATGTGACTCGCTCGCTTTCCCAGGACAGCGTGCAAGATACGGTCCTGGTGCCTCCTTTGAACTTTGCTATAGTATCTCCTGGAGTATATCGATCAGGACACCCCAACAGGCAAAACTTTCCTTTTCTCAAAAAGTTGGGCCTCAAGACAATAATGTGAGACAATAAGCTGTTTTTGTGCATCAACGAATTTCGAGTTTTCACACACATTAGCAGATGAAATTAATCAATTGGTTTTTAGGTACTTGTCATCTGACGATTTTAACGAAGAACTGCATCAGTTCGTAACCGACCAGGATATCCAAGTATTTCATTACAAAATATCAGGGAATAAGGTAATGCGCTAATTTGTAATCGATTCGACGCTTGCGGTGATTCACAAAAAGTGCGAGTATTAACCCAAACTTTAGGAACCATTCATTGAGATTGAACAAAAGGATATCAGCAGTGCGTTAGTAAAAGTGCTCGGTTAGTGAAAGCTTTCTTTCTCCCTAGATTCGGACAAAGACTTCTCGTTTAGGGGGGTGACAATCAAAGTAACGATGCGGCTTGATATATAGATACACGCAATCATCCAGTCCTGATTCACTGTAATAAGGGCAAACACCGGATAGGTTGTCTTATAGGTTGTCTAAGGAAATTACAAAGATGGTCAATGACCTCTATATTTGACGAATATCGGCGCTTTGCAGGAACAAAAGTCCTTGCTGACCAGGAAGTAAGTAATAGTAAACAAAAGCTTTGTTGGCTGACTTTCAATTGGGTGACTCATTCCATTAACCACGCGCTTGTGTGCACAAAGTTTATTGAAATATTCTCTGAGCCTGTACCGTATGATCCAAGGCATAAGCCGGAATGGTTGTAAGAGCATGTCGGCCACAATTTGTCGTACGTTTTGGGATTTTCGCAAGATATACGCCGTCCTCCCGTGTGGTATTTTCTACAAATAATAATATGAACTTTAGGTATAATTCTAGTTAGTATTACATTCAAATTTTAATCACATGCATGTAGATTGGTCCAATGTCCATGTCGCCAAGGTTTACAGCATGATGCAGCACATGCATTAAAAATCCTATTTATAAATTGATAACCAGTAAGGGTTAGAATTTATGCCCGCCCGCTTGCATTGGCAGTGGCTTGCAGATTGGTTTATCTTAAATGGTTATATAGCCGCCTCTCATTAATTGGCTTTACGGATACTTTGCAGGTCACTACAATGAAGTGGCGCAAACTTTATTCAATACTTTTTGTGTGTGTTTTCATTAAGCCTCTAGAGCTGTCTATGTCTAGTTCATAGTTAATAACAAGTTCTCCAATTAAATATTAAAGTCTCTTCACAAATGATCTACATATTGAATTGCATGCCTGTTTTTTCTAGTCGGTATTGTTGATAGTAATATACAGCGAGTTAAAGGGAGGTGAGTGTTGTATAATGCAATCTAATCTATCTTCTAAACAACCACTATTAGTAAATATTAAAATATATTGTTCCATTATAGTGTACATTTAGTCACAAATTAAATTACTATTCCTCTGCATCTCGATATTCTCGGTAACAGTACTACTCGAAGTACTCATTCTTTGTATTTCAGCCAACGTATGACCTAAATCTAACTGCATAATACTCTGATGTCGAGACGATCTGTTCGTCGCATTCGGTGACCATCCCGCTCCGACTGATGTAGCGACTAAACTAGGAACCATGGCTGCTGCAGCGAACGCATCTGATCTCTTGGCTGCTCGCTCTTTATCGTGTCCAATATGTAATCTAGACGCGCGTAGTCTACCGCCGCGAATTGTCTTAAAGACGAATAATTTCTCTCTTACATTAGCAATAGCAGGATTCCACTCATCTTTACCAAGTCCAAATGTCTCTGAACGTTTAGCTGGCTTTCCTTTCTTCTGTCCGGGTATTTTCAAACAAGATACTAAGCGTAGTAATGGCGCGTTAGGGATATATCGTATTATCACTCCGACTGGAATAGATATAAATCCAAGACCTAATGAAATAGCCCATTGTACTCCATTTAAGCTAGTCACTTGGAATGCAGTTTTGCCAAAGCTAACTATCAAAACTTGTCCGCCAACCATCAGAACGAATATAAACATAAAGAATTGATTGGCCCAAATTCCCTTGAATATGTTCAGCTTGTTGTCTAGTCGGCGGCAATTAATTTCGTTGAATATTTGAAAGAACACAAACGTATTAAAAATTAAAGTTTGCAATTGATCGTCCCCGTAATTAAACCATGCTCCTCCTTTGTATAGCAGAGCAAGAGTAACAGCCAATTGAACTATACTCTGTCCAATGATCATCTTCCACATGTCAAACGAAATCAGTGGAGCAGTACGTGGCTCAGGTTTCCTATTAAGTAATTCGGGCGTGGGAGGGTCGGTTGCAAGAGCCAGAGCTGCGAAAGTGTCCATAATTAGATTAACCCATAGTAGTTGCACTGCTTTTAACACTGACTTCTCCTCGTCGCTGCTTATTGCAGAAATAAATGTCAATAGCACGGCCGTTACATTAACAGTCAATTGGAATTGGAGGAACTTCTTGACAGCATCATTTACACTTCTTCCCCACATTATGGCTTTAACAATACTCGAAAAGTTGTCATCCATCAGAATAATCGCGGATGCTTCTTTAGCTACTTCTGTCCCGGCAATACCCATGGAGAACCCGACATCGGCGGTCTTCAGTGCAGGACCGTCGTTAGTACCGTCTCCAGTCACAGCAACAACTTCACCTAATTCTTTTAGCCTGCTAACGAGTATCCTCTTATCCTCGGGACTGGAACGAGCGAGTACTTGTAGATTTGGAATAATAGCATCTCTCTCAGCAGGCGGTAGATTCCTAAATACTGGCCCTTCCATTATCTTCCCACCTGTATATATTCCACATTGAGTAGCAATTGACTTGGCAGTCAATACGTTATCACCAGTCACCATTCGCACATATACGCCGGCCTTTTTACAGTTAAGTACCGCCTCCCTAACTCCTTCTCTCAGCGGATCTTCTATACCAACGATTCCAATAAGCGTGACATCCTTAAATAAATCCTCAAATGCCTTGTCTTCACTCGCAGTGTTCATATTGGCCGGAGGCCATTCTTCAAAGTCGCGATAACACATGGCGACAGTGCGTAAAGATTGACCGGCGTAGTACGTAATCATATTTTTCAACATGTCCAAACTTTCCTGCGTCAAATCTTTTGCATAGGGAGAGAGAGATGATGGGTCTGCTGTATTCGACTCGATATCTATTATGTATCGGGATTTACTGACAAGAATTTCACTGGCACCCTTGACGTAGAAACGCCACGTTGTTGGAGAGACTTTGACTACCACTCCCATCGCTTTGCGATCGGAATTGAATGGAAAAAGTTGTACTATTTGAGCATCCTCGCGCAATTTTTTATATTCCTTCAAGCCCAACTCTATTAAAAGTTCAAGCAAAGCAGTCTCTGTCTTTGATCCGACAAAAGTAATCTTTCCGTCGTTCCTAATTTCTCCTTCGAACGCAGTAGAATTAATTGCAATTGATTCTTCGAGTATTCGCGTAACATTCTTAGGAAGTGTTCTAGTCAAATCGGTTATAGCCATCGGATTCTCTAGTTGTTTGATGGATAGTGTAGGCGGCCTGTTCTTGAGCGATTGCGAATGTGCTACGGGATCCTTTACAAACGAGACCGATTGGCTAATTGTGCCGGCGACGACCGTCATCTTGTTTTGAGTGAGGGTGCCCGTCTTGTCAGAACATATTGTTGTAGCATTGCCCATTGTTTCGCAGGCCGAGAGAACACGGACGAGGTTGTTGTCTTTCAACATACGCGTTGTAGCAAACGCGAGAGCTTATGAGAATAAGAACGGCACGAGTAAGTACATCAATACATGATATTGTTGATATTGTACATAAAGACTGCATTACAGAGATAAAGGGTTACTCACCTAGTGTAACAGCCAATGGTAATCCTTCAGGTACAGCCACGACAACGACAGTAACAGTCGATATTACAATTCGTGTCAGAGATTCAACAACTGTCGTAGCCGCAGGGACGCCGTCTTTAAACGCAACAAAATACTTGATCAACAACACAACAAACATTAACAATGCTGCTGCTCCTCCCAATTTCGCTATTTTTTCTGCGAGATCGTTTAATTTCTCCTGTAACGGTGTATCTTCTGGTTCAGTTCTAAGGGACATCATGGTACGCCCGTGATACGAATTAACTCCTACTGTTGTGACAATATAGGTACCAACACCTTCGATGACCTTACTGCCACTTATGATGAATGGGTCGGCCTTTACATCCGAATCGCTTATGCAATCGTCATATTTTAATTTTCGAATAGCGTCACTTTCTCCAGTAGCGGCCGATTCGTCACATTTGAGATTATGACCACTGACTAATACTCCATCAACAGCAATAATATCGCCAGGTTCCAATTGTAACAAATCGCCAACTAGAATTTTGTGTACTGACAGCAGCTGCTCTTTACCATCTCTAATAACTTTAACATCTCTATCCTCTTTCTTTGCATTCAGTTTTTGAAATTGTTTTTCTTTCTGCCAATCGTTTACACTGCCGACCATGATTACGATAAATATAGCCACAATGATGGCTACTCCCTCGACCCAACTTACCTTTGGTTGTTGTACTCCATCAGGATGCTTGACTCCGAAATCTTCGTACAACCCTAACCCAAGGGATATAACAGCAGCAATGGCGAGTAAGATTAATATTTTATCTTGCATGGCTATCCACATTAGCGCGAATATTGACTTTGGTTTACGGGTGGGAAGGACATTGACACCAAACGCACTTATTCGTTGTTCAAAAGGAGTGGTTAATGTCGCAGGTGATGTATGATTTGTAGCATCTGATTGTTTTTTTCCAAATATTTCTTCTAAAGTTATTGGTTCTAATGACGCTATTTCGTCGTTTGATATTCCGGCATGAAGGTCAGTATGAAGTCCTTTCACGATACCATCGATTCCCCCGAGATTTTTTAAACGTATTATGTCTTTCGGGTCTACGAGAGATGACAGTTGGGTGATAGTAAAGGCGAAAGGAGAGTCTTTTGATATACTGTCTTCTTGGAAGTCTATTGGATTGAGTTGAGTAGTTGAAGTGTTCGAGTATTGTGTTTGCCCATCTGAAAGAGCCACCTCTAGTTCTATTCTATTCGGAGTGAGAGTGTCTGTAACTAACGTACTAGTGCTACCGGTATTAATATCAACAGTCTCTGTTACAGTTATGGAAATATTATCATTTATAGTGTGAACGATGGTAGTGCTGTCGCCTGTTTGCAGCTTGCCGCCGTCCATCTCTCTAGTAATATAATAGAGTCTCTACAAAGTAGCAAAGATAAAGGTCAATTTTATGAATGGGGTTTATATATGCAGAATCGTTTTTTACTCAGTATCATACGTATACAAACGAATTTCCTTTGTTCTAACTATAACTAGGAATATAATTGTCGTGCAACCCTTGCCGTTATCGGACAAATTACCGAACTGTATATATATTTTTAGTCCCACATGGCCAAGAGCATACGCCGCAAATTGTCGTAATCGTGCTCGGCCGTTGCGGCGTTTCTTTATTGACACGTTTGTTGCCATATACTTACGTTCGCCAGGTAAGCGCTGGCAGAATGACGTACGGTTTTTCGTTCAGACCGCAGATAGGATACGTCATAATAGCTATTGTTATTATGTTCTTGCTCCTACTATTGTTACAAGCGGTCGGTCAATAACTTCCCGATTGGCTACTTAAAAAAGATATAACTCTACTAACAACCACAATCTTTATTATAAATTCATTATACCATTTACTATATTAATGCATAAATATTATTCTGCGCATGTGAGCAAGTTTACAGGTTGTGGTCAAGTTTAAGAATATATAATAATAATTTTAGACTATGATCTGACACAGGTTACATGTACGTTTCGGGCTTTCGACAATGATAAGATTCCCTTTTCAATCTCAATATCCCCAATTTAAACTCGCATAGCTGTAATCCGACAACCACATAGACGTCCTAAATGGCAAAGAAAGCAGAGTATGGTTTTCCTTTTTGTGGCAGTATAATAAGCAAAACTGGTAGTACTTTAGTGTTATTATCTCCGCCTTTATAGAGTAATAACGCATTAATGATTCTATAAGGTTGTGATATTTTGGGTGGGAAACACAGCTCTTTTACTCATTAAATTTTATAATTGTTTATATTAAAGAATTGCTATTTTAAGACCATCTCCGACATGAATTTCGTACTGTTTTACCGTTACTATTACAGAACATTCCTCTGTTTGTAAACAATTTCATCTCCACGTCGAATATTCGATAGTCAACTCGATAAGGCAATACAACAGCGGGGTTGATCGAAAAATTCATCCCGCAGTCGTTTGTTTCACTAAATTGGATTGTCGTTTCTTATTTGTTAACAATGGGAAACATTTGTTATACAAGTTTCGAACATAAAACACTTCTGTCCCTGGTATAGTGGTTGACATTGTTTAATATGACTAATGCAATCTCTCTTCGTCGCATCTGCTGATAGAAATTTCTTTCTACTCCAAAACTTGAAAGCGGCATTCACTGCCGAAAGTAGTTTGATAAATACAACATAGGGATGCCTATCTTGTCCATATTAATATATGAGTACAGCGAGCATTTAAATATAGCTTTCCGGTAGCGTATTCTCCCTGTTGCATTGCATACAATCATATTGGTTATCCAATGTTTGGTATTTTTAGTCCCAATAATAGAACCGCGCCGCAAAGAGATTTATTCTGACAATGAAATGTTGCAAATTCGCTGGCAAATCTCGAATTGTTGCATTTGCTTTCTCCCCCTTTATACAGTAACTGTTAAAGTTTCACAATTGATGATTTAAAGCCTGAGATGTCAACTTTTGAACGAACAAATTAACCAGTTATTAGGTTCCATCTGTGGCTGTCCGCATTCACAATCGCGCTTACAGTCATTTTTTCATTTCTTTTATCTACGGCTGTTGATTATTATCGGATAATTGCTACACTGTTCACTATTAAGAGGAGGAGAGGGGGGGGGGGTGAAATCTTCAGCTTATTGGTATCGTTTGGATTGATAGTTGATGTTCACTCCAATGGTTATAGGTATCTTAATTTCTTCCCTTCTCACTATAACCTTTCTTAATCTACTACGGCATTTAGTTATTCCGTATCTATTAACGAGAGCGGCATCTGCGCTCCTTTAGTTATCCAATGAGGTAATTATCAACATTACTATGAACGTTTTTTGGTTTCAGGGCTGCATACTATTTGATTGCCTACAAGTCTGATCAACCTGGTTTTCGTCAAGAAGTTAATAAATCGGTTGACTTGAAGACTTATCGATGGACTGTGTAATTACATAATCGAGCAATTATTAGACTATTTGTTCAAATTCCTAGATACATTATAGATCCACCGAATGGTTACGGAATTTGCGATTAAATGTCTGCGGATATCTGATAATACACAGTGAAAGTCGATATAACGGACCGTCTCGATATAACGGATTTTGCCTTGTACGGACTTTTTTGCTGTGACGTAATTTTTACTACGTATTATAGCGGACTTTATATTAAACAGTGATATAACGGATCCGGACTAATTTGCCCGAACACATTTATATTTAATTTAATTTAGCTTATCTCGATATAACGGATTTTGTGTAACAAAGTCCGTTATCCACAATGAATATAAGAATAATATTCTTTTCCCATTTTCTGCTACAAGTATCTAACAAATTGCAAACTTAACATAATGTCGACTTATGGTCCTACCAATTTAAATAATAAACGAAAAAATGGTTCGTGATGTAAACAAACGACCTTAACAGCATTACAGAAAAAAGAACCATGTGAACGACTTAGTTGTCGATGCGAGTTTTGCTTTGAATTTGGGAAGATTGAGAAAGATGAAACGCATTGAACAAAGGAGGCAGACAAATATTGACGAGTTTTTTACATTCGAGTCTTAAATTGAATTTATCGTTAGGTATTATTATTATGTCACACATGTTATAACCGTGAATAATAAAAGATATTAATATTAAAGGCCGTCGTTATAACGGATTTGAGTCCGGTATAAAACTCACTGTTCGATTGTCAATATAGTGGACAAAAGTGCTGGTCCCGAGCAGTTATATCGTGTACCATACGCCTGTGCCCTAAAATGTTTACAATGACAAAGCACATATTTCCACGTCAATCAATTCGCCAAGATTTTACAAATTTCGTCATAAGTCACGTGATATAAATAATTCGGTCTTTCTCGACAAAACGGCCGAAGTACAGCCTGGATTATCATTTTATTATTATACCTTGTTACGATAATCGCTTGCAATTAATCTCTTAAACGTAATCAAGCTAGACATCCAATTATAGTAATGCACGTAAGGTGACTTTCTTTTAGTCAATTGCAATTCCATGCCAGAAGAATATCATAAATCGATAATGGTTCTCGCTCGAAAGTAAAAGGGTTTTACTTTATAAATTAACAGATACAATTAAATATCATCAGGTGTTTCTTATAACAACACCTACGATTGAACGCTAAAGGTGTTCGAATGGGCTCGAGATGTTTGTTTATTATTATTGGCATAGCTGTACTATCGCTTCCGTGTATTCGTAATAGTATTCGGACATCAGTAAAAATAACTTTAGGCCGGATCCCGTTATAAAACGAATAAACAATACAACAATCAAATATTTTCTACATCAGTATTAGTAATTGAAAGGCATGTCGGAGTGGATCTGATCAAAAAGTCGAGTATTATCTCAATATCTATAGGTAAGTGTATCGCGTTACTGGCATGCGTAGTTATCTCGTTAATCTTTGGTTTCAGCAATGCTATCAATATATGAGTTAATATTCATGCAGGCCTTGCCTCATTTATTGTAATGACGGTTTTATTATGAAATAGCATTACACAGTTCACAATACAATTAAGATTATCATAAATATAACAGGTAGTTGAACACAACGCACGTATTATCAATTCTCGTTGACATGGTATG